TAGTAGTCGATTTCAGTACTACACTTACTTAACCATCCTCGACATTCAAGGGTTTACATTTTCGTACTTTCCCTGCACCCGTGGGGCCGTATTCATGAAACTGTTCTCATAGATTCTGTACTCAAACCAACGATCTTATTAAATGACAAGGAAAACAAGTCAGGTGTAAACCCTAAAAATGATATTCTGCTCCAAGTCTCTCCCGATTTCTTCCAAATTATTGTCAAAACGTGAAGTGTTATATATTTATCACGGGATCAAGCAATTTGGCTTGAGCACAAAATCTGAAATTGAGCATGTATCATCCACAATATGGCTGGGTTCCTTTGTGAGATGAAAATTGAAAGAGAAAGGAAAGAATCATTCAACTGAATATTTCATACACATATCTTTTGGCGCGTACAGAACCTTCGATTTTGTCATGATATATTTCAGGGGTGCGGAGAGCGTAAGTGAGCATAACCCATGGAATTTCAAGGATGGCAGATATCTGAGTGCTGTAATAATTGAGTTCAAGGACATTTCCGCCTAGTGAAGTAAAAAAACAAGAGCCTTGATTGTTCACAAGAGTGACTTGCATACTATATCATTCATTTCCATTGTATGTTTCTTTAAGAATTAGTATTCGTCAGTCATCACCACGTTGTTGTGAGAATTTTGCCGGGTTAATTATTAAAGAATAAGATACTGTTTAGATCAGGACATGTCACCTTATAATGGAGATAATTACACGAATGTTTACCAATAGAAAACGACGTTTAATTAGAAACATCAGCGTTCGTATCTAATGATAAACGAGGCTGTATTTTGGTATGTTTTCATGAGTGTATGTATTGACGGAAGGAAAAAGACATTCCTCGTGGATAATGTAATTTTCAAGTAAGACATTACGAAGCGAACTAAGGGTAATTGTTTCTTTAGTGACGCGTAAGAGTTAAGTTAAGACTATATGACAGTATTTTTATCTCACATACATTTTTCACAATTATGTCAAAGTCATATATGGATGTTTGTACTTAGTGGCGTCAAACAATTATGACGTGACGATCTAAGTGTGCTTGTATTTTAAGTGACGTCATAAAATTATGACGAGACGAACTAGGTGTACTTGCACCTTAAGTGATGTCATAAAATTGTGACAAGACGAACTAGGTGTCCTTGCACCTTTAGTGACGTCATATAACAAGGACAAGACTAAGGGTATTTACATACACTGGCTAATGAGCTACGGTTTCACAGCTGATAGGTTAGTATGGCCATATTTTATGTATTTTTCGTCCATCACGTTCTATCTGTCTTCCATGATTACACTCCAAGCCAGTGTAAACATCGATGTATATGTCAACCCGTCTATTTACATGGAGTAAACATCAGGGGACAAATGTTTTAAGGCACGTCAGCTTGACGGTTATATATCTTACATTTTTTATGGGGGATATTTTCAAAAGTATAAAGCGATTTTGTTTAAAATTGTATATGACGATATGTAAAATCTTTAAATGAAGATAATACTCTTAAACTCGTTTAAATATAGATATAAATATTGAAAATATTAAAAATTCAATGAAGTTTTATTTTTATTGAAGCTGCTGAAGATTTAAACAATTTGAGTTTATGTACTTAAATTATACATGAATTACAGTGGAAATAGAATACTCACTGCTACAGACGTAAAATATTGACAATGGACAATTGTAAAAATCGAAATAAGCAGAAAGTGAATACCCATTGATTAAATTATTAACACTAATATGCTATATAAAACATTTAAATGATCGATATATTTAGGAAATTACTGCTGATTGTGGTTTGAATAGTGTCAATATACTGTCAATATATGTCAACAGATTGTCAATATGTGCCCGTCATTTTCTCTTAATTGTGTTCAAATTCTGATGAGGTGTTGAATTATCAAACCTGTTTGTATAGATAAGAACTCAGTCGTAAATATATTTATATACACAATACCTGTCTGCGGTGCTGATGTTCATGAAAACACGAGTCCATAGCGACGGGTTCAAGTCTGGTTTAGAACTATAGAGCAAGTCATAGGGACTTGTGTTTCTGTTTGTATACAATATAACTCAGTCGTAAATATATTTATATACACAATACCTGTCTGCGGTGCTGATGTTCATGTAAACACGAGTCCATAGCGACGGGTTCAAGTCTGGTTTAGAACTATAGAGCAAGTCACAGGGACTTGTGTTTCTGTTAGCTTTCATTTTATTTCTTGTTTCATTTCAACAAATGTTATTTAAGATGGTACAATAATAGGTTTGAACTACAGACTATGATTATATACTATAGTTATAATTGCTATTAGTGTTCTGCTAAATTTCTTTTAGCTTTTTTTCTCGTATGATATTTACTTTTATAGTGTAAACTGTCCTATCAATTGCAAACGGCCCATCGACAATGTGAGTCCTTTAGGGCGCAAAGGGCACATATCTCAATATATAAACGTACAAGTCCCTGCGTAGCGGGAATATCCTAACCAAATTATACCATCACAAAAGATATATGCGGACGATAACTAGCGATCTGTTAAAACACTGGTTCTCCTAAATACTGTACAAATCTTTAATTTTCAGAAAAAAAGTGTTTTCTTTCATGACTTGAAAGATACGTTCATTGTCTTAAACTGTGTTCTTCTGTTAGAGGCGAGTTAATCTTGACTGTTGGGGCCGGTTTAGTGTGACTTTAATTTGTTGCAGCCGATTGCTCCTGACTATTAGGGGTCCGGTGTAAACGAGGTTCTTTGTAGGCGAGTTATAGTAGCCTATTTAGAAAGGTTCAGTATGCGTGTGTTCATCAATGATGAGATCCGGACAAAGGGCTTTCAATAGAGGCAAGTTTTCTGAGCTACTGGAATTTCGAAAATCCTATTAACAATATTCCACGATACGCAGTATTCCGTTATTAACGAATTAGTGTTTCGAATCTGGGGTTGAAAAGGCTTTTTATTACGATTTGAATTTTGATGATAAAAAATGTATGGTTTATCGGTTCATATTCCAGCATTAAGATAACTGGTTGAGTTACTCAGCTAGTTTTTCAAGACAAAATTTAATGTGAAGTATGATTGGTTTTAACATCTAAAAGCCAGCTAGTATTTCAATCGAAAATGTATTAGATGTAGATCTACCCACTTAATTACAAACATTAAAATTGACGGAATAGATGGGACGGTTAAATAGTTAGCACCCACGGGTGCCATATAGACGAACGTGAAATAGCACTTAAATGTTTTTATCTTAATATGTAGAATCGCGCGGTTTCCTTGGGGTGTTTTTGCCTAGAAAATGTGTTAACAATTTACAAATATTTAAAAGCATTTTCTGACGTTTAGAAATAGTCTATTGCTATTGTCATTTTATTCATTGAATACATTTGTACATGTGTATCAGACATCAACATGTGTGTCATAATTTCACTCATGAGTCTAGGGCATTTACAAATGAGTCGAAGACTTTCACTAACGTGTCTAAGACATTTACACATGAGTCTAATACACTTACACATGAGTCTAAGACATTTACACATGGGTCTAAGACTTTCACTCACGTGTCTAAGACACTTATTCGTGTGTCTAAGACACTAACACATGAGTCTAAGACTTTCACTCACGTGTTTAAAAAATCTTTAACTCACGTGTCTAAGACATTTACATATGAGTCTAAGACTTTCACTCACGTGTCTAAGACACTTACTCGTGTGTCTAAGACACTAACACATGATTCTAAGACTTTCACTCATGTGTCTAAGACACTTACTCACGTGTCTAAGGCATTTACTCGTGTGTCTAAGACACTAACACATGAGTCTCAGACATTTGCACACGAGTCTAAGACATTTAACCATGAGTCTAAGACTTTCACTCAAGTGTTTAAAAAAACCTTTAACTCACGTGTCTAAGATATTAACTCGTGTGTCTAAGACACTAACACATGAGTCTAAGACATTCAAACATGTGTAAAAGACAAACACACCCGTTTAAGAAGTGTACTCTGGATCCGTAACGAAATAAAAATGTAATCCCAAGCTATGTCTGTTGATCGATCCTAACAGTAACTTAAAATAATGATCTGGTAAATTTATTGCTGGTTCCTACTAAACCTTCATAAATAGATCGATTGGTCCTGATACATATAAAAAAAATATGTGAAATTATGTCGCTGGGTCGTCATTTTGATGATGCCTAATTCTATAAAACTATTTAAACAGAAATATAATTGTTTGGTATTTTCTTCTTTCATATTACTTCCCTCATAATCGCCAGAACTATGATCCTAGGCGATGGGGGTCAGAAGATACTCGGCAGTTCGGGGAAGGGGTGGTGTGGTGTGTGGGCGTGTTGGAGGTATGTGGTGGGGGAGGGGGGTCTTTCAGCTAAGTTGTTTTACCATGCTATATACTCGTCAAAAACAAGGGCAGAATACAGGCACATTAGTATATCATTAAATAATGCAAACCGATGATGGGCAACATAACTTGCAACAGAAGAATTGCAAATGTTATAAAGAAATTTCTCATCAATCGCAAGCAATACGACTTCCACTCTCGGGGGTCTCTCATACGAAACAAGGACTATTCTCATGCTTACAACAAGTTAAGATGATGCTTATCAAAATAAGTTTCTTGGCCAAAAAGAAAACAATTGATTTATGACTTCGTATGAAATCTCCGCAATCATGTCGCTGTGTGTAGTTAACAGATTCTTAGTAACTTAAATCTTACATTTAAGATAATATTTAAGCCAGCCATCCTTACGCTCTCTGTGCTTCTTACTCGGTAATCTTATACGAAACAGAAACTATTCTTATGCTGATAACAAGTTAAGATGATGCTTATTAAAATATATCTCTTGGATTAAACCAGGGACAGTATAAAGAGCCGTCCCTGGATTAAAAAAATTATATATCTGGCTGCGTGTAAGATCTCCTTCATCGTGTCACTATAATAAATAACTAGTAGAGTATAAGAGAATTAAATCTTACCTTTACGATAGTGTTTAAATCATCCTTCGTAGCGTTTTTACCTGTACAACGCTACTTGTACGTATCACACCTGTACCTGATCACTTTCCGATAGTTTACCTGTGTTTACAGGTGTATATTACACCTACCTGTATATAACGGAGTTCATACATACTATAAGCGTGAACCGTTAAGTGCTAAACACACTATACAATATCACTGGTGACATCCACAAACTCTGGTAGAATGGTGTTTTAGCAAATCCTATTTATGAAAGGCTTCGTAAATGGCATACTAACAAATTAGATAACTAAAAGCTAATAAATGGAAATTAGCTGGTGAGTCGAGGAATATCGCAGAAACAGTCTCGCACCTCAAACACTGCCATATACAATGTATATACATTGATAAATTATATTTAACAAAAGTCTTTTCAAACAGAAAATAAATCATTTTCATTTTTGTCATATTAATTATTTCTAAGTGTACCGACCACTTTGCAAACGACATAACATTAAAAAGTTCACTCTTCTGACTCATATACATGTATAACAGATGAGAAAAAGCGCGACGAAAGGGCTGAAAGCTATCAACGACAATATTATTCAGGTTCCCTTTTACGGACAGGTGTGTACAATACCTGGACTTACCGTGACCCTTATGTATTGGCCTATCATGTAATCGAGGCTGGCTAATTACCTTAGTGTGGGGACCTGTCAATGTCAGGTGTGCCCATGATCTCGTGGTCAGGAGATCTTGAAGTTCAATCCGCCGTGATTATATGATTTCCTTTGCACGTTCCAGGTTTAAGTTCAACCATCCCATTAAAGATGGTATACTCGCCCATTATTTCAATTCCAGAAAAGTCATATTCAAAGATCACAATTAAAAATCAGATCATATATATATATATATGAAAGCTTAATGAACTGAAATTGTACATTGGCTATCAAAATGATACATAGCCAGGTAAACGTAGTCAATAATAAGACATTAAACATCAAATTATATTGATGTGGATATAGAGGCAGCAATGCCTGCGTCCACTCATATCCTTTTATATCCTATTATTAAAGCTGATGTATTCATAACAATAACTCATCAGATTTATAGCATGTCAATCAGTGTTTTGCGACCCAAAATGATGTATCTAGGATGTTGAACACATGTTATTAGGGCTTATGTATGGGTAGAAATACAGGTAATATGTACTTTACGAGACATACCATCTGTTAACTTGTCATTAACGTTACGCTTTGAAATATATAGTGAACTAATATATTACCTGGAGACTGTATCTTGTTTCCTTTGTTTAACAGAGTTACTTCCCCTTTTTTACAGTAAAGTCAAAGTGACGCTTAACAGAGTTACTTCCCTTATTTTACAGTAAAAGTCAAAGTGACGTTTAACAGAGTTATTTCCCTTCCGTTTACAGTAAGATTTGCTTTGTAACAGAGTTTTAAAGCCCCATGATACAAGTTGGGTTTGATCTTAAATCATTGTTAGAACTTGTTTAGTTCTAGTACATGATATCGGCATGCTACAAAAAATTGTATTGAGATTTTCAATAAGAAATTTTTAATTTGGTACGTGCAAATGACATTAAATCCAGCAACGGATTTTTATCACTATTGATCGTATAAAATATGTATATATATATATGTATAGCAGCCTTGTGAATCTGTGCAATCGTAAGTTTGTATGTAAGGAGAAGGTGTAGATAACTAATCCTTTGTTTGGCTTTATACGTCTCTGTTTAGACTGGGTAATACATTTTCAAGTATAATTATATGAGTTTTCTCCATTCAAAACCTTTGATAAAAATAATTGTGAAAATGTGGAACGCCGACAACCATACAAAAAACAGTCAGTCGAAAATGGGAATGATATAATACTGAATAGCAATGCAAATAACGTTCGATAGCATTTGTTATTCATATTCAAAAATATCTTCTTAAACATTTATAACACTGGTCAAATATGAAGTGTACTTTACATGTGCGTTTAGTTCAGATTCTTAATATGTGTATGCCTTTGTAATCATTGATGTGAAATGTATTTTTATATTCATTTCTCTACTGAGAATCCATTGATAAATGGAAGAATAAGCAATGACGTCAAAAGCTCTCGTCGTCTTCTAGTCTGGGACCGAGGGTAATAAATAGGATTTCCGCCGCCTTTCCGTTGCTATAACAGGCCTAAAACGAGGCGTTCCCAATGTTAGAATGCTTTAGACAACCAGAATAATAGTTTTGTTTTGTTTTAAACATATTTTGTTGCTTTAACATAGCAACGGGATCGGACACAAGTTATACAACTTATACAAAGCCATTTCTGTTTAACAATGTATATTACAATAATATTACAATGTGTCCACACAGTTTCAAGATGGCAGCTGAACAATTACCATGCACAATTTATGGAATAACATTAATTAAACCTTGTTCTGATATACTTATATGTGTGTCCAAACCGGCCAGAAAGGTTGGTTACAAGTTTCATTCATTTTGCCCCCACCATGTTCTATAATGCGTATTATTTTACAGAAATAGGATCATTTCAGAAAGCTTAATAATTTCAATATTTTAATGAGTTTTTATTGTGTAAAATAGTGGAGTAATTTGGATGATAGATTTTCATTTGATTTAGTAGACCTAAGTGTAATTACGTGACATAAAAACAACATGTAAGTAGCGAAACATCTACAAAGCGGACGAGAAAACCACAACAAAGAAACATAAAGCAAGTAAATATTACATGTTTATTTATAAACATTGCACACAAGAACTTATATTTAATACGAGTATAATTCAACCACAAAGTAAATCATGTTCTTAAAATAGCACCAACATCTTCAAATCTAATCTTGTAAGACTCCATTTATAAAATTGTATAGGCTTTAAAACATTTAAAACACCGAATTATTGACGTCCTATGGTGACACAAAGCAGCCGCCGTAGTCTAATTAAAACAAAACATACATCAACGCGTTTGTATACTATACACGATGTAGATATTATAAAGTACAGGCAGTCCGACCATTTGTTTACCTGTATCTGTCAATAATGAATACCAACAAAGTGACGTCATATACGTTTTTCTCCCACAACCACTGTAGGTTTCCTCACTCAGAACTCATTGGATAGACCTGTTAGGAGTACGTAACCATTTTTGACTACCCACTAGTGGGTAACACCCTGGACGTGATTTCATTGGTCAATCTTTGATTTATGATGTCACGTAACAATGCTTTTCGACGTCATTTGCCATTGTGACGTCATGCTCCATGACAATTGTTTCCCCCATCGGAAACACACATGATGTATTTTCCAATGGGAAAATGTGGGTTTTCAGATAAAATACGAACGTTATGAGGAGAAACAGGTCCCCAAACTCGTGATGATTAGTTATCACATCTATCTAACTTTCGTAAGTTAATTTTCAAATTGTACAATTTGAAGATTAACTAACTCGAGTTAGATGAACATGATAACCAACCATCACGAGTTGGGACCCTCTATATATGGAACATGACACGATTTGAGAATATTGAAATAATACATTTATATGTAAGTTCAAGTGTTTAAAATGTCATACCAGGAATTTTACTTTTAAATTAGGGTCCTAAAAAACACTTTTCTCCCACCATGCACACGTTAATTGTTGGTTTTTGCGAGGGAAAATAGGCTTTTCTTTATATACCTAGGCAAAGCTTTATCTACCTAGGCAAAGACAGCTCACACGCGTTTTTATGCTGAATACGTCACCATCACGTCATCTATTTATGTAGCGTAACGTCACCAATTTTATCACATAATTCCATGCACTCTTGAAAATGGCGCGGTGCATCGAGTTCACCGTAGCAGCACGAGAAAAGGAATCAATTACTCCGGTCAGATGTAGACAGAGAAATCTCAACCGTCGCCTCGTGTTGTATTTCAAAAATATTGGGTTAAGATTTCTCTATCATTACACCATTACGTCAACACAAGGATAAACTATACTACAGCGTCTACACTCAAGTACAAACTATATCACAGCGTCAACACACAAAGATAGGATGAAATACAACGTCGACATACATGTACAAAAACAAATCGACATGAAATAACATCAGCAAGAACTGAGGAGAGGAGACAGAAAAGCAAGGGACAATGCATCCTTGACTCCTACAAGACACTCTGGCAGGCAATACCAGATACACCGGAAGTGTTATTATTTTCATCAACACACGTGTCACCCGACATTAAAAATCTCATCTTGCAAGAAAAGTGTCAAGAGATATTCTATGTGTGTAAAAGTTGAAAGACAATAAGATCTAATAGAGAAATTGTCTCGAGTCTCGATTTTGTTTCCAAGATGCAACATAACCCCAAACAGCAGGTCATCTAATTATACTGGTATTTATCTTCTCAGTCCTCCCATTTTATTCGATTCACGACAAAAATCCTTTGATTTCTAAATGGTTACGCAAAAACTTAACGTAACTAATTTGTCCGTCTTTGTTTTCATCTAAATCATCGAATTTCTTTTTCATTGCCTCATTGACTTCGTATCCCATCTGTTTGAGTCTCATCCCGATTACTGACTTGTCAGCAAATCCATTCTTATTGTCGTCAAAAGTCCCAAATATCACTCTCATTCTGCTCGTTCTATTAAAAAAAAAAAAAGAAGAACACAATATTAAAAAATAAAACTCAAAAAGATCCTCTTACAAAGAATAATAAGATTTTGTCAGCTTATAATAATCACTCTTGTTGATGTAGGAAGTTATAATGACAAATAATCATGATTGTTCGGGTGGCGCAGTGGATAGAGCACTTCTCGTTTCACTCACACGACCGTGGGTCGACTCCAAGAATCGGACGTAAAAAGGTGCCCGAACACGGGGTTTNCCCCCCCCCACGAGCTTACATCCGGGCCATCAAGACTGATAAATATTAGCTTGGAAGTTTTGAATAGACATTGTCTAAAACCGCTATTATGTCCATTTTAATTTTAATTTATCGGCCTACATATTGTCTTGGCCACTGAGTTGTTACAAATATTACGAAATATCAGGACACTTACCTCTTCATCAAATCTGGGTTATGTTCAAGTACGGCTATGTATTCGTCCATTGTCACGTGCTCAGATCTGTTATTGTTGATAGCCCTAAATAAAACCTAAAACATAACAAGTTAAAAATAGAACATGAAGTCAAAACACACATATATAGATGTGTGACGTCATAGGGCAATTGATAAGATAATATTTATCTATGTGACAGACAAGCAAGACTGTTTCCATATATAACTTGAGCGTATTTCGTATTTCTAGCGTTTATTAAACCCTATGGTTAAAGCCTCTCTCTATTACCGCTAGAAGTATGCTAATTATAATTAAATGAAAAGTGTCCTTTTTATTGAACGTTTTTCATTTCTTTATAGTTTTAAGTCAGAAATGTATTAACATTTTTCATGATTTAATACAGAAAAGGAAAAGGAAAATTTGAACACTACTATTATTAAAAACAAAGGATAGAAACAATAGGCATTTCAGAATTATTAAAAGTTTAAGGCATTTATAGTATTAAAACAGGGAGCTGAAAATCAGTTACATTAGATTCTACCTATACATCGGACAGGCCATAATATACCTATATAATATCTACTCTCATTGATTACTAGGTCACTGTGTTCGCTTATATACCAACCTCTACTCTGTCATAATCGCCATCGTAACCCAGAAACATAAGGAGTCTAGTGATCTCTTTCCGGTTTAGCGTGCCGTCTGCGTCTGTATCCATGGCACGGAACTCTGACCTCAAGTATACGTTATCTTCTGTTTTCGCTGGATGATACGCGTAGGTATCGTTCTTACTACAAAACAGCGTGAAAAATACACATCGTTACCATAACTCTGGCTAGACTCATTGTTTTGAAGTTTGATTTACTTAAGGTTGTATGCTACCTAAAACGTCATAATTTATAAATTATCTCCCTTTGATATGATATCAATTAACGTGCTTGCTACCAGTGGCTGTACATAAATTCCTCTCATCAATAGTATTGAACCAATTCTAAATTATGAAAGGTTTACAAATATATTTCTTAGAGCGGAACTCTTTTGAAAAGAAGGTAACAATGTTACAGAAAGGTAAAACGAATAAAGTATGCGGCCTTAATGAAAAAAAAGTAATATCGACTCTACAGTTGTTGTACATATCTATATTACACGGATTCGTATGTAATAATTGTGTTCCCATAACAATGTATATTACTTTATTCAGTTTTACCTGTAGTATCTACAACCTATACCAGAATTAAAATATATTGTAAATGATAATTGAAATAATGGTACGTTATATTTTTCTTAAAACTATATTGTATATGGGGAAATTATAGTCATCAAACTCATTGTTTTATTGTTTATGGAGAAAGAATAGTTATAACACTCATTATTGTTCTTAAGAACATATGGTTTATGCTAAGATAATAGTCACATGACACCTAATTTTGTTTTCTTAAAATGCAATATACATATGTTAACTGTCAACGATTCAAAACTTACCTTTCACTATGTCCCATGATATAACTTAGTTGAATCAGTTGTTTGGTACAGTGATGTCTAATTTTATTTACCCCGAATACATTTACAGATCACGTTATATAGACCTGCTACACGTCCGGTTCGATCAGTTGACAAAAACAGACAATGACGTCAGCAAAAACATTTTATTTCAAAGAGGACAAAACTATTGTAAGACACTGACCTCACCCGTTCAATGCCCACTTAGTGTCCAGCACGGGTCATTCTTTAGATAAGGACAATGCGACTGTCGGACATTGACCTTACCTGTTTATATATCTACCCATACTACTAAGCATTCACTTATAATTCAGCCCGATACAGGTAGATAGGAAGTGAAACATACAGCGTATACGTCAATCACCTCATGTTTGTTTATTCAATTTTTCAGTTCAGAAGCAACATGGTTAAATACTGTAGAATCATTTATTTTCGTGGCGTTAACATTTCGTGGCTTTTTATATACTAGCCTGTTTCAAGGATATTATATTTCGCTGATTTCTGATTTCCCCCTATCCATACCAAACCAAATTTGCATTTTTGTGGGGATTTAATTTCGTGGATTTTTGTTATCCACGAAATAAGCGAAATATAGTGTCCCACGAAAATTTATGATTTTAAATAGTTGTCTACAATGAAGAAATTTTTACTGAATTTTTAGGCTCTTCTGTATATATATATAAAGAGCTTTTACATCTATTTCTCGTAGCAGTTTCTAGCTTATTTTTGTCATTGATGAAGTGTATTCACCTATAGATGTATTCCGGTATGTGCATTACGAATACAACTTATTTACCATGTGACGAAATGTTCGGTTTACCTCGTCAACGTTCAATTATTTTATACATATTGATTCGGGGTAACTCGGCAAATGAATTTATTTGTTCATTTTGTTTGAAATAAAAAGGCAAAAAAGTGTTAATAAGATAAACATGGAATTGAATTAAAATAAAATAGGAACAAAATAAATGATTCAACACACAATGCAAAAAATGTACGATGTCAACATACAACGTAAAAAAAAAACCCAACGATAATATAAAATTTCGGATTGGAATAACCCTTGAAATCCTGTATGGATTTTGTTTATAAATGGTGATACACTCTAACTTACTTAAGAAGTAAATATTTGGTTGATGGGTCATTTACTTACAGAGATATGACGTACCTAGCTAGTTAAATCACAGACACAATTAAATGTAAGTGACATCCCATAATGGCTAGTTGGCAACACCATAGACTCGGTCGGGTGATGTCCGTCACGCACTGTGTAATCTCCAGTCCCCCTCAAGTTTGTTTATCATTGTAAAGCATTTAGTTCTTCTGATTAATAGAAAAAAGTTAGCAAGGCTTTGAACAGTACTATACGCCTCTTATTAAGTAAGAGCTTGAAAAACTCGAGATTTCAATAACCTTGTTAAGCAACTCGAAAGTAAACGATTTATCGCATACCCTGGTGATAGTGCAACCTTTAACTCACTAAGCATCACTCTGCATGCCCAGCAAGCACTATTCAGTAAGCAATAAGTCCCAAAAAGCCGTTTTCTTTATAGTAGTATATTATCAACAGATCATTTCTGTTAAGAGATAACTTTGAGCCAACCCTTTGGTGGTTTTATGATACAAATAGCATTGCTTGTTTACATCATACAAAACATTGATATTTACAAAACAATAGATGAGTTGCATGTATTTTATTGATATAACGAATTAAATTCAACGTTGATTCCACATTTTGGAAATGGTATATCTTTCTATTAACATAACAGTTGCAAAATAGTACAAAACATACAAAGTACAAAAAAAAAATCCACACATAGCAAACATGGATGAATTGCGAATATTTGACGGAGCGAAACTTTCCTGTATATAGCATTGATATATTGTACCTTACTTTGAAACAATAGATTAGTGTTTACATCAGACTATGTTTGAAACAATGAAATGTAGATATACAACAACAATAGTTGATCAATGGATGGCTATATAGGGACGTCTATGTAATTTTCTTTCTCAATGTTGATATCCTAGGTTGATGACCTAAATATAGCGCATGGTGATATGGACATGACGTCATAATATACAACTCACTTGTGTTGTCTATTGATAGATATTAATAATATACAGCATTTGATATAGCGCCCTATCTAGCTAACATAAGCCACTCTAAAGCGCTTTACAGTACATAGATATACAATTAATACAATTAGCATATACACTAGTCAATACAATTTGAGGAATTCGCAGGAACTGCCTTATCAGGCGCTAACTAATAGTCCTTTTCCACCTGGCTAATATCTCCCTATGTGTGTATGCATGTTTGTGTGCTGGAGATGTAATGTGCTCTGTTTGTAGTGGGACCGTGCTGCCAACGGCATCATTTATGGTGCCACCTCACTTGAATGCTACAGCACAGATACCGCAACATCCACCCCAGACCAATTTAGACTCCACCTGGGTTGTTGGAGTTGTGTGGGCAGGAGAAAAACACTTTCTCTAATTATCCATGCGTACGACGACTTCGGGGATCGAACCCCGGCCGTGTTAACCACTCGACCAATCCGCCCAAATGTTGTCTATTGATAGATACTCCACTGCTAGTTAATGTGGGCTGATAACAGATTCAATATATGCTTTCTCTCATTATAACATAAATAGCATTGATGAATGTTCCAATCTAAAAATAGGTATATGTCAACATGTGTTAATGTTTATTTACCTAGCACACCTAGCACGTTTCGAGGTTATCTTATGTTTACATTAGCATATCTCTAAGTTATAGTCGTCAGCCGATAGCATGTATTGAACAGAATTGTATTATAACTATTATAACTGAAAAAGTTCATTTTTACACAAAATTTAATCTGCAAAATAATCTTCGACTGGTTATTATATTCAGTAGAGATTGGGAAAGTGATTGCCTTAATGTTCCCAATAAATGACGAATGACATTTTTGGCTCTTGCAGACCGCTCTTTTTCTTAATCCTCTTTTGATAATATTTTCAAAATGTCATTAACACTAACACAAATAATACAAAGCACAGCACAAGTTATACCGCAGATCTCACCATCCCAACACATAATACAAGTAGCATTGCAGCATTCTCGTAACCGAAAGAAGAGTTATACTATACCGACCACTTAACCTTAAAACCAGCCGTAGAGCAAAACTGTGGACCTTACAGCCTTGAAACTATAACGCAAGAAATACTATACGAGAGACAAACATTGACACAAATATAATTCAGATCTAACAATGTACAAATTGCAAAACAATTAAGTAATGGTACAGATCAAGCAATATCTAAACTGTAGCATAAACAATACAATATTTTCAGTATAAGTTATAGTAATACTATAATAAAATATTTTTATAATCTATTAATAGAAAACTGGAAAATTGCATTACATGACGCAAGTTATCATTTGTTGTCGTTATCAGCCATATTTATATCAGCAACCAAAAATATCACAGCGCGATCGGTGTCTTCAATCGCTATGATACATATTTATATATAGCTTATAGAATTACCAGCATTTTGTATAAATACAAGTTTCATCACTTGTTGTCGTTATCAGCCATAGTTATATCAGCAGCCAATAATATCGCAACGCGATCGGTGTCTTCAATCGATATGATACAATATTTATATATAGCTTATAGAATTACCAGCATTTTGTATAAATACAAGTTGTTCTTGATTTGTTTACTGTTATATTTGACATAGAGAAGGACGCCCTCCACAGCATATTCTAGACTGAGCAATTGTGTACAGAAACGAACGAAATTTACACTTTGTGGATCGAGAAAGTACAAAATACTACCTGTTTGTAAGCTTCCAGGCCACCGGAACCCACGAAACCATAATGCCTCTGAAACAATCGTGTTTCTTTTACTACAAAGCTTTTGTTCCTAGCAGCACAAGACACCTTAACCTGCTGACTGCAAGGCACAATGCGCTAAGGTATGTATATACTGTATCATTTCTTGTTATTATATTTTATGAATTTCAAGAGGATGCTTATGATTAAAAGCATTTCAAATTTATTCATGTTATATGTGGGGTTAAACGATAAGTTTATTTAATTATAATTTGAAACTTATTAATATTAAGTTACTTTGATAGTTAATTCAAATATGGGAAGTACAACATCTTTACCGTACGCGATTATTTTTTCTATCAATTAACATAGACAGTTATAGACACTTTACCAAACATACAAGTGTACATTGACTACTAAAAAAGCTGTATCCGAAACTACCTAACTAGCAATAGATACACTATTCAAATTTGTATAAATATAGAGGCCAACTGATTTTTTTAACTGGATATAGAGCGTGTCCTCTTTTACCGTGGAATAGTATAAATATATTTTATCTTTCATTTGTTATTGTTTAAACGTTTTTTATGGCATTATTGTTGTTTTTTATGTTAGCGGGAAGCCTAAATGTTCGCCGACCACATACACGTCATATTCAACACCGATGTTGGACCGTGGACAACCACGAAATGCAGAGGGAATAGTGTGACTGCCTTGAAAATGATGACGGAGACAAAAACATCCACGTAAACTCCGAGTCGTATAAGCTATAAGCAGTCACAAAAAAGTATGCCATCGTACTCTGTGGTAGATCATTGTGAGAATGGGAGAAATGAGATTAAGACAATGGTGGAATCAGATCCTGATTCAGAGCTCTCGCTCATGCGGTCAAGAACACCTATAAAACTTATCTGTTTGTGAATAAGAAAATGAAAATGCATTGAGCTATTACACAAGGACAGCTCGTTAGTGAGGATATAAAAGAAAATACTGCCAATGGAAAGAACATGTATGCATATATATATATATGATCAGGAGACAATCTTACTAGAAAAAAATCATTTTCGTGTTCCTTTTCTATTTCGCGACTATGATGTAATTTTTCATAGAATGATTCTCCTTAAAAAAATATGGAATAGAAACGGAGGCATGGTGGTATAACAGGGCAAAGCTTTTGTGATATTAAGAGGAATATTACCAGTTCAGTTCAATCTTAAATCTAAGAACGTTACATTTTA